TAATCTCTTGTGATTTAAATTTTTTCTTCTATTTCAATGTTTATTTCCCCATTGCCATTTCTTATTTTGTGCATTTGTGCTTTCTCCCTGTTTTATTTTAAAAATATGTTTTTATTGATTTTAGAGAGATCGGAAGGGAGAGGGAGAGAGAGAAACATTGAGAAAGAAACATGGATCTGCTGCTTTCTGCATGCCCCCTACTGGGGATAAAGCCTGAAATCCCAGTATGTGACCTATGACCTTTCGGTGCATGGGACCACATTCAGCCAACTAAGCTACACCAGTCAGAGCTCTCCCCTTTGTCTTAGTCAAGTTATTTAGTGCTTTATCTATTCTAATATTTTCAAAAACTACAGAATTTTGAGTTATTACTTAGATCTGGTTTTCTATTCCTCTATTTTTATCTTTATTATTTTCTTTCTTGTGCTTTCTTTTGGTTTACCTTATTTTTTTAGGTTATTTTTACCTTGGAAATGAATTTATAGGTTATTCTTTCATTTGTATTGATAAATATATTTAGTGCAATGAATTTTTTCCTTTGATCGCTGCTTTAAATACATATCATGGACTCTTGATATGTAGTACTTTCATTCTCATTATTTCTTTAAAAATCTATAATTTTAGTTATAGGATACCAGAGGTGATTTAATAGGTTTTAAAATTTCTAGGTGGAAGGGTTCTTATGGACTTTATTTTTTGGTTTGTTTCTGTTACAGTAAATTCTAATATTATTGCATTATGATTAAGAGTATTGCTTGTAAAATTTCTATTTTATGGAAGTTACTGATGTTTTCTTTGTGACCTAATATATGATGATTTTTGGTGAATGTAGTGTGGGCACTTTAGAAGAATGTGTATTCTCTAATATGAGAGTGGCAAATTTGATAAATATTCTTAACATTTACTTTATTAGTTATGCTGTTTTGATCTTCTATCTTCTTATTTTTGGTTGACCTAATATACTACTGAGAATGCTATATTAAACTCACCTATTATTAGTGTGTTTTTATCTATATGTCCTTGCATCTCTTACAGTTTTTGTTTCATAAAGGTAGTTGCTATGCCACATTCATGTGAATATGTAATTTTAAATTTATTCTATCTTCATCATGAATTGTGGCTTTAAGCATTAAAAAGTGTCTTTCTTTATTTGCATGTTTTGGGACTTGAATTTTACCTTACCTTATTCCAGGATTGCCACCCCCTGCTCTTTCTGGAAACATCTGCCTGGTATAGTTTGGCCACCCTTTTATTTTTAACCTTTCAGAATCACTTTGTTTTACGTATATCTTTTGTACAGCTCCTTGAATTTTGTTTTGTGATCCTTGATTCACATCTACTTTCATTGATTTGATTTTATTTAAAAAATTTTAAATGTTGATCCTTCGTTGTCTTGCTTTATATATTGTTTTTTTTAGAATATATTTTTATTGGTTTCAGAGAGGAAGGGAGAGGGGGGGAGAGAGAGAAACATCAGTGATGAGAGAGAATCATTGATCGGCTGCCTCCTGCACGCCCCACACTGGAAATTGAGCCCATAACTCGAGCATGTGCCCTGACTGGGAATTGAACTGTAACCTTCTGGTTCATAGGTCGATGCTCAACCACTGAGCCATGCCAGCTGGGCTGTATATTGGTTTTGAAATATCGGAGGCTAGTGTAATTTTTTTTTAAATTTATGTTATTTATTCTTTTTACTTAGAGGTCTGGGGAATTTTAACTTTATATTTGAAATCAAATACTTTTTACTAGGCTATGTTTCAGAGTTTATGGTTGTATTCTCTAATTTTCTCTAATTCTCTAAGTATCTGGTGAGCCCAGGTCTTTTTTCTTTAATCCTCTCCTGAAGATATGTTTTATTGATTCTTTTAGAGAGACAGGAAGGGAGAGAGAGGAACATCGATGTGAGAGGGAAACATTGATCAGTTGCCTCCCATAAGCGCTCTGACCAGGATAGAATCTGAAACCTAGGAATGTGCCCTGACTGGTAATTGAACCCACAACCTTTTGGTGTGCGGGGAGGAAGCTCCAAGCAGCAGAGCCACCCAGCCAGGGCAATTCAAGTCCTTTTTTATTTATTTATTTCTGGAAAGTTTTCTTGGATTATAGTTTTAAATATTGGTTCAGTTTTTTTGTTGGATTTTCTCAGGGACTATAATAATACACATATTATTCCTTCTTTACCTGTCTTCTGTTTCCACTACTTACTCTCTGTCTTTCCCTGCAAAGTCATTTTCATTTTCTTGGTTGTTTTCCTGACTTTCTTCAGTGTCCCTTATTAAATTTTCATTTGAGTTTATTCTCTCTTCGGCAACTTGTTATTTATTTTTCATTTTTGATATAATTTAGTCTTTTTCTCCCATTTTTTCCTCTAATTCATTTAACTTTTCCCCCTGTCATTTCACTGATTTTGGTCTATTTTCTGTTTTTAGTTTTAAAATTTCTGTCTGTGGACTGAAGGGTCCCAGGTTTGATTCTGGTCAAGGGCACGTGCCTAGATTGCGGACTCGATCCCCAGCTGCGGGAGGCAGCTGATCAATGATTCTCTCTCATCATTGATGGTTTGTTTTTTTTCTCTCTCCCTCTCCCTTCCTCTCTGAAATCAATAAAAATACGTTTAAAAAAATTCTGATTCAAGGTGAGGTGCTTTAACAGACTTAGAGCTTTCTTCTGCTCTCTGGTTTTTGGGGGAAGAATTTCCCTCAGTTCAGAAACTCTTTTTCTACTTTCATTTAAACATATGGGGATATCAGACTTCAAAATTTTTGCAAACCTCTTAAGTATGAAATGGTATTTATTGTTTTAATTTTATTTTCCTGATTAGGTAGGATTGTATATATTTTTCTATGTTTATTGGACATTTATGTTTCCTCTTTGTTGAAAACCCTAAGGATATGGCTGTCATTTACTGAGGTGAGACAGACTGTAGGAAGAGCAGATTTTGGAGGGAGGTTAGGAGTTTGTTCTTGGACGTGTTTACAGCATCCAGTAGGCTGTTGGACATGTGAGAATGCAGCACAGAGGACAGAGGGTTGGTTATAGACAGAATTTTTGAAGCCATGAGAGTCTAGACTGGGGAGAAAGTGTAGACAATGAGAAGTCCAGATACTGAGGTCAGTATTTAGAGGAAGACTGGGTTCCCTATTTAGGGGTCAGGGTGGTGACAGGGAAGATGAGGAGAAGCCAGCAAAGGACACAAGAAATCTTTACAGGTAGGAGGAAAACCAGGAAAGTGTAATATTCTGGAATCCAAGTGAGGAAATGTTTCTGAGAGGAAGGTGTGTCTAGGAGGAGGAGGAGCCATAACCTTTGGATTTAGCAGCATGGATTTCATTACTGATCTTTATTAGAAGTTTGCTGCAGTGGTGGAGTGGAAAGCCAGATTGGTGAGGGGCCAAGCAAGAATGGGAAGGCAATTCCATTTTAATTTTTGTGTGGAAATTCCTTGCTGTTCTCTGTAGTGGCTGTGTCAATTTACATTCCCACCAACAGCGCATGAGGGTTCCCTTTTCTTTACATCTCACCAACACTTTGTTGATTTATTGATGACAGCCATTCTGATAGGCCTGAGGTGATATCTCATTGTGGTTGTCATTTGCATTTCTCTGATGATTACTGAGCTTGAGCATCTTTTCATATATCTATTGGCCAGCTCAATGGTTGAGCATTGACCTATGAATCAGGAGGTCATGGTTTGATTCCCTGTCAGGGCATATGCCTGGGTTGTGGGCTCGATCCCTAGTGTGGGATGTGCAGGAGGCAGCTGATCAATGATTCTCTCTCATCATTAATGTTTCTCTCGCTCCCTCTCCCTTTCTCTCTGAAATCAATACACACACACACACACACACACACACATACATATATATATACACACACATACACACACACACACACATATGTATGTACACACACACACAGATAGCAACAAATGTTGGTGGGCATGTGGAACTATTGGAACTCTCATACATTGCTGATAGGAATATAAAATGATGGAACTGCTTGGAAAATTTGTAAGTCTCTCAAAAAGTAAAACAGAATTATATGACCTATCAATTCACTCCTAGGTGTGTGTGTGTGTGTGTGTGTGTGTGTGTGTGTGTGTGTGTGTGTAAATGAAAGCAGAGACAAAACATGTTCACGCAAAAACTTGTACACAAATGTTTATAGCAGTATTATGCATAATAACCAAAACATAGAAACTCAAATGTCTGTTGAGAGATGGATTAATAAACACAATGTGGTATACCCATAAAATGGAATATTACTTGGCCATAAAAAATGAAGTGCTTATACATGGTAAAACAGGAATGACTTTTGAAAATGTTATGCTAAGGGAAAGAAGCCAGTTACAAAAGACCACATATTGTATGATTCTGTTTAAATGAAAGGCCTAGGATAGGCAAATCCAGAGAAACAGGAAGTAGATTTGTGGCTGTCAGGCAGGGGCTTATCGAAGGAGAAGGGGAATGGAGAAAGACTGCTTGCTAATAGGTTTCTTTTAGAGATGAAAATGTTCTAAAGTTAGACTGTGGTGATGGTTGTACCTTCCTGTGACTATACTAAAATAAACCTATAATTGGTGAATTGTATGGTATTTGAATTATATCTCGACGAACCTGTTTTTCAAAATAATTAAATGGAAAATAATATTACCTCCCAGAAAATAATATACATTTTAAAATCATTGCCAAGGCTATTTGGTGTGCACCCCACAACCTTTGCATTTATTATTTTTATTCAATTTAATAGGTATGAACTGATATCCAAAGCTTCTTTAGTTAAATTATAAGTTCCCTTGGTAGAATGTAAAGGTCAGGATGGCAGAAATTTTTGCCTATTTCTCTTCACTGCTGTATCTCCAAAACAGTGCTTGGCAAATAATAGGTATTCAGTAACATTTGTTGAATGAATGCATTTTGATATTAGGAGTTAGTAAGTAAACATTTTCCCCTTTAGTATCTTAATTTCATAGTGCATCTGTACTAATTGTTCTTTCTAGCCTCAAATTCGTTTTGGAATGAAGCAGTGTAATAACTGAACGAACTGAACTGAATGTACTTCTTCTGGTGAGTGATCTGATTCAAGTCCTTTGACCTTATATGCTTTTACTTTTCTGAATTTCATTATAACAATAGTTTGCAAATGTTTGATTGTGAAGACTCCTTTTTAAAACCAATGTCAACATAATAATAATTGTACTCTCTGTGGAAAAAACTACAGAATGGCAAGAAGCCATTTATATTTTACAGTCACCACAGTCTCTTCAGAATTTTGTAAAATAGAGGTTATAATATAAGAAACATAAATTTCATAATATGTGCATGGTGGATGTATGTATTATGTATGGACCATGGCAATAATTTTGAAAGCCACCAGAGGTTTGGGGTCAGTAAGTTGAGAACTACTTAATTATAGTATCAGAACTGAGGAGCATATTAAAATGTAAATAACAGGTACTATAGAAGATTATACCCTAATCACATATTTTAAAAATTCAGTCCCTAAAGCTATCAGTTTCTTTTAAATATGTATATCCCTTGCCCAAAGACATGTTAATTTATTGGGGGTTTTTGAGAGAGAGGAAGGGAGATGTAAAGAGAGAAACATAGAAACATTGCCTCTCATACGTGCCTTCACCAGGATTGAACCCAAAACCTAGGTATGTGCCCTGACCAGGAATTGAACCAATAACCCTTTGGTGTATGGGATGATGCTCCAATTAGCTGAGCCACCCGGCCAGGGCAAGACTGAAGTATATTTTTAAAAATCAAGTTTGTGTCTTTTAAGATTTACTTATTTTACATATTTTAGCAAAAAATCAGAAGCAAACTAAATGTTAAGCATGCTTAATTAAGTTTTGATATATTTATCTGGTAGATGTTAGGTAGCAATTGAGTATTATAATTTTTAAAAAATATATATTTCTTTATTAATTTCAGAGAGGAAGGGAGAGGGGGAGAGAGAAACATCAGTGATGAGAGAGAATCATTGATCGGCTGCCACCTGCACGCCCCCTATTGGAGATCAAGCCCGCAGCCCAGGCATGTGCCCTTGGCTGGAATCGAACCTGGGACCCTTCAGTCTACAGTCCAATACTCTATCTACTGAGCAAAACCAGCTAGGGCTTGATTATTATAATTGGACATTGTAATTCTTATTTGACAATTTAAAAAGCAGGACATACCAGCAACTATTCTTAAATATTTTAACTGTGATTATATGAAGTCTTTATGTATTGGCGAAAGACAGGAGGGTAGTAGTGGTTGTGCCCAGAGAGAGGAAATCTGGGTAATTTTTTCCTCTTTTTGGAACACTTACTTGGCAGTTGCTGTGTGCTAGGCACTATTCTAAGCTCTTTTCATGAATCAACTCAGGGATCATAAAACTACACATTTGGTATTTGGAGCCTCTTTGTGTGTGTGGGGGGGCAGAGGGCTTGAGTTAAG